ATTTTAAAAACAAAAAACACAACCTTTTTCATAATATTTCCTGTCTAATAATAGTTGTTCACTATACTATTTTGTGATGTACAATAATACTTGTCCATTTTATAAAATTAATGGATAATTTCACACTTAGTTCCTAATTTATCCTTATCATTAATTATATTCATTTCCCTATTATATTTTTTGAGATACTATATTTATTATATTCAAAGGGTGATATAATAAAATTATCCTTCTATTTATAGTTTGTTAAAAAGTGTGCAAAATCAACATTGGACAACTATTGTTGAACATATATAAATTATTTTTATATTTGAACTGCTTAAACTTGTCAAAAAACATTAGTGTGCCCTACTGTCCGAATATTACTTGTTTTAATGAACTTAATTTGTTTTTAAATATTTGATATTTTAGGAAAATAAAGAGTATTTAAATAGTGAATTTTACTTAAGTAAGACATTTAAGACGGAGAGATAAAGGGTATTTAAACCAAGGCTCTTATAATTAAAGATTTAATTTCTTAGATTCTGACCGATATGGTAATTTTGTGCTCTCACAATTACTCTTTTCACTTTCCCCTAATATTACAAATAATTTTGTATTTATTTATTTATTTAATTTAGAAAGTCAAGATAAAATAAAATTTGATTAATAAGGTTCCTATCCATATTTACTTATCCATGTTGGACTTGGCACACCCCTTAAAATATAATAAATAAGATGATAATTTAATAGATCACCCTAATTATTATAAATGTTTAACTATTGAGAAACAAAGAGTACTTAATAATTAGGGTAAAATAAACATAAACACATATTTTTAATATAATATTATAATTAATAACTAAAATTGAATTGATAAATATTTCTTCGGAATAGTGTTAAGGCAAAATACTTGCTCTTCTTATTTTTACTTGTTCACTATTACTTTGACACGTCCTTTCATCAAGGAGTAGAAAGTAGAGTGATTCATTTTGTTATATTATCCTTTTAATATAACAAATATAGGATTTTTAGACATTTGTTGAAAACTGACTATAATTAATACTAAAAATAAATTATTTATTAAATTTTAAAATTATAAATAATTTTAATATAATGAATACGTAATAATGGATGTACGGAGTAAAATGAAATAGAGAGAGTAGTTTTTGAAGTAAATAAAAGTAAAGAATAGAGGGCCCACGTGTGGTTTTGACTGACAATGATGATGTTCCAATTTCAATACCTAGATAGATGTTTATATTCTACCAGGACCAGGTCCCACCAATAGTTTTTTTTTTTTAAAAAGAAAAAAATATTTTAAATTATTAAAAATGAAATTGCCTTTTGGAATAGTCATTCACGGCCCCTTCCGCAAAATTCACTTAAACACTCCAACATGGTCCCTTTTCTATTAGACACTCCAACCTTAAAAAATAAATACCTATCAAACATTTTTCTAATATCTGATCAAAAGAGGAAATGTGTGTAATACACATGCCACTGATGTGGCAAAATTGCAAATCAAGTGAAGACATGTGGCATTTAAATTTACAATAATTATATAAATGAATTTTGAAAAAAATAATAATCTAAATCTAAAAACAAAATAATTTCAACTAAAGAAAAAATGAAAAATCAATTTTACCACCCTCACCCCCACCCTTGCACCCGACATACCCCAAACCTCTCATTTTCTTCTCTTTCAGTAAAGTCACTCCTTATCCACCATTGTTATTTTCTAAATGGAGATTTTAACATATACTAAATGAAGTTAAGTTCTTTTTTCTTTTCTCTTTATGTTTTCTTTTTTGTTCCTATCTCAAATTGATAGTGTTTTTTTTTTTTTAAAATAAAAATAAAATCTGTTCATCCTATTTTATTTTTATTTCAAATTACTTTCTGTTTCTGCTTCGTTGTGGAGAAAGAAGGGGTGTGGATCGAGAGGCAGTGTGCGGGATCTCCATTTTTTCCGATAAATAAATTAGATTATGATTTTCATTTTTTCTGACAAAGAAAATGTGAATAGTGGACTCCATTTATTCCGGCAAAACAGATGTGGATGATGGTCTCCATTTTTTTTGGGAAAGAAAATATGGATGGTGATCTCCATTTATTCCGGCAAAAAGGACGAACTACGTAATTGTACATCTGAAAAATTAATACAATGACAAGAAATTAAAAAAAGATGAAGAGGTATCCTTGTGTACAAAACTAGGGTTCATTTCCTCCTGTTGGAAATTGATATTAGCAGGGATAAAAAAATGATGAAACTAACAGATTAGGGCTTGGAATGTGAGGAATAAAATGATATTTGGATTTGTTTTGCTTGCAGCGTTGGAATTCTTATCAAATTTAAGCATAAGCTTAGAAGAGTAAATTTCTAAAAAAAATGTTAGGCGGTAGATTTTGTTATGAATAATTGGCGGCAGCAAGTTTGCAATTTTGAAAGAGAGAAGAAAGGAAGATTGTTATTTTTTTTTAAATAAAATAATGAGAAACACAAAAGAAAAATCTAAAAATGTGTTGATTAAATGATTCACGCGCCTAACAAGGTGAGAATTACACTTTTTGTATCATATCTACATAAAGTGTCAACATGGTTCAAGTTCAGAATAGTCAAGGTGTCCAATAGGTACAAATCTTAATTGAAGAATTTAAATAAATTATGCGGATAATTTTAAGGGCCCGTGAATGACTTACGCCTTTATTCTTTATACTGAATGTAGTAACATGGCCTTTGAAGCTGAAAAACATCTTCTTTACTCAATAATCAATCATTTGTTCACCGAAAAAAGGTTGACTAATCATTTGCTTCTTTCTTTGAATTGAATTTAATATTCACATTAAACTCTTTTAAATTTATTCTCTCCCTTAATTTCCATCAAATTTTGTTATTTTAAGCCTATTAAATTTTATATGTGTTTTAATTGTCATCCAAGATTTTTAAAGTAACATTGCATTACTTGACTATCGATGATAATAAATGTAAAATGGTTCATGAGAATTTCATCAAAATATGTATTTGTTCTCAATGGCCTCATAATACAAACATTGAAATATAAAATTGATTTAACAAAATTTTGAACATATTTAAATCGTGGTTAGAATGATAGCATTAGTTTCTTGAACAAATATTTGATCTTATTTATTTATTTATTCATTTGGTTTCAATATATGATCTTTTATTTGCTTTGCTTTCACATATAAATAGTATATGTAATAGTTGGTTGTACTAGTACCACTTTACCAGCCAAAAAAAGGGGTGGGCATGTGACTCATTATCTGTAGTTTCCATTTGTCAAGAATGTAAAGAATATGCTATTGTTTCTTTTATAAAAAAAAAGATTTATTTATAATTATTACCATTATTATTTAAAGGTGCCTTCATACCATGAAAGTACCACAGAGAGAATCCAAAAATATCCTTTCCAAAAATAAGAGTCTAAAATAATCAGTGGACCATAAGCGGCAATAATGGGACTGAAATCACCTTTGTTTTTCTACTAGTTTCACGTTTTTATTTCTTTGCTGCTTGTTTGGGGTGATTTTTTTTAAATACAAAGCAAGAGTATGTTCTCTGCCAGATGCAATTCATTAACAAATAGCTAATGACAAATAATAAATCATGGAAAAAAATCTAGTAGAAGTTGGGGTTTTATTTCATGTAATAAGAAAGTGAGACATAATAAATAATTTTAAAAAAGTAAATAAAAGGAGGGTTGGTAGTTTCAATAGTATAAGTTGTTGGAAAAAATACTACTCCCTCTGTTTAAAAAAGAATGACCCAATTTCTTTTTTAGTCTGTTTAAAAAAGAATGACCCATTTCTTTTTTTGGCAACACTTTCATTTCAACTTTCTACGTGACATGTTTAAGGCCACAAGATTAAAAAGTCATTTTTCTTTTCTTAAACTCCATTCCAAGTCAAACTAGACTATTCTTTTTGAAACGGAGGGAGTACAATATTGTAATGATTTGGTTAGTCATTTTTGGAAGGTTTCATGAATTTACCATTTTACCCCTCCTAACATTGACCCCGAGTCTCTTATGATTGAATTTTGTAAAGTCGGTTTCAAACTTTGAGTTATAAATTGTGTATTTTGGTAAGTTTTGAATTTGAAAGTTTCAAGTTGTTAAAAGTGATTTTTGGTGTCTTTTGGAATTTTGAGTGTCGGAATAGAATTCGTTGATTCCATTAGTCCCAGAAAGTGGAATCTGGTCGGTGAGAGTATTCGATTTCAGATTTAGAGTCTTTTTGAGGATTTGAGGTCCTAAGTTGAAAAATTATGGAAATTTAGCTTTTGGGTTGACTTTGATCAGCATTCGGGAATCGAATGCTTGAATCGGGATTCCGAAAGTTTCATTGAATTCGGGGGATGATTTTAAGCCTATATGAGGTCTTGGTTGATTTTGAAGAGGTCCTGAACTCGTTTTGACCTTTTTAAGTGTTATGTTAGTTTCTTGTGGCTTTCACGGATGTTGGGTCAAGGAGACCTCAAATTCGTATTTAAAAAATTTCATTGAGTGCAAAACGTTGAGTATAATGAATTTGCATATGTGGTTTGTGTGTATGGGGTTCCAAATGAATCCCCACTACAAGAAAAATGACCTTTAGCGAAAGGAAATTATATCGTTAAAAGTCCAAATCCGGTCATTAAAAGCCTATAACGACAAGACAAAAATTGATTGTCACCAGTCATTAAAAGCTCGGTCGTTAAAAGTTAACAACCGAATTAAAAATGGGATCGTTAAAAAAATATTTAGCGACAACAAGAAATACAGTTGTTATAACTTTTTTCATTGACCGATTTTTCCCTTCGTTAGTTGTCATTTTGGTCGTTAAAATTCTTTTTACGATGACAAATCTGATCATTGATAGTGCTTTTTGCAACCAGATTTTACCTTTGCTAATTATCTATCAACTATCAGTGACATCCGATTTTTGATAATTGATCACTATAAAAAACTAGTGACCAAATAATCAACATTGTGATTATACATATAAAATTTCATAGTAAATTACAAAGAAGTGTAGTGTTGCATTGCATAAAATTTTCTATCCTTATTATAAGACATTAAATATCAACTCCTTACAAAAGAGAATAAAATGTAATATGTATAAATGAGAATATCTGTAAATAATTCCTAAAACATAAACCAGTAGGTTTGTCTTGTGCTTCAACTTGTTCTTTCATTTTCAGTTGCTCATACTTCCACTTCACTCTGATCAGATGCAGGCCGGTTCTTCAAATTTAAAATTCTTGATCTGTCAAAATAACAAATTTATGTCAACTTGATAAAAAAATTTGTAAAACATTTTTTCTACTATGTTTATCTCCTTTTCTCTTCAACAAAATCAAGATTTAACCACAAATAAAACAACACAAATTCACAGTCATCCATAGAATTTAGTTGAAAAGAGATCTAAAACATAATGGAAGTATGTCAAAAAGATAGAAAACAAAATTTATTCTATAAGAGAACTCCCCGGATAGAGGACATAGAACCAAAAGATAGGTAGAAAGCAAAACTAACCACAAAGAAAGCTAATAAAGTACAAATATTAAAAAAACATAGAGTGCCAAGTATTGAATCACAGTCCATGCCAGCAAATGTTGGATTTTATAGAAAATAAAAATGCCAGATGTTTTGAATGGAAGATGAGTAGTGTACAACAACTTAAATACAATTGTCTATGATTTTTGACTTTTGATGTAATCTACAAGATGTAAAGGACGAAAATAACATGGTAGATTTTATAGTTAGTCTACAAAGATAGGACTTCCACAGTAGGAAACCTTGTTTTCGTTTATGTACAAAAGGTTTTCACTTATGTCTACTTCCTTAGCACCGCCTTAGTGCTAAGTTGTTCCGTTTTTGAATATATAACATACTTACCTATTTTTATTTTTTTTTAAAATACATTTCAGAGAATATTAGTACTATATTTTTTTTTGAGATATTTTCATAAATTTGGCCACATCCTTAAATCTAATTTGACAATTTCGAATTTTAGGTATGTATATGAGAACCAAGGGGGGAACAAATGACAAATTAAAATAAATGTTTACTACAACACCAGAAAACACAAATAAATCTGCAGACAAAGATAATTTAGAAATTAAATGAAAGAACTTGAGAAGGGAATAGATGTCAAGGGAGGGGAGAGGGGTTAGGAATTCACTAAAAGCTTACAGAATCAATAACGGAGTCCCAAAGCTGACGTCTTGCTTCCAAATTTTTTGGATTTACATGAATGTCAAGAGTTAGTTACGGTGATTTAGATGCTCTTGACAAACTCAAGCCAGTAGATTGTTGGACCCTCGACTGTAAAACCTGGAGACAAGTTTTGAATATGTGGACAGCAGGTGTTGGAAATACAGTTGATCATATTTGAAAGAGGTGGCACATTGCAGGATGCATTACTTGCCTATATAAAAAGAATTGTGCAGTCATCTTCGACCATAAAATGTATGACTAAGAGAAACTCACCCGAAAATAAAGGATTGCATGTTGTTAATAATATTTACTCGACCAAAAAAAATCTTAATGTGCAAAGTAAAAAAACATGCACGTGCTAAAATTAAATCATTATGAATTTGCAGCATGTATTTTAAAGTAACTATTCTCTACTAATTAATTAAAGAGGAAGAGAGCATGTGTGTGGTGGAATCACTGTAACTACTACCTGGTGGTCTAACAAATATCTTATTTTGACAATATTCATTTTGAAAGATAAGAAGTGTCACTCTACTTCATGTACATCACATTATAATTTTTTTTTATACTAACTTCGTTCTTCCTTTTGAAAACTTACTTTATATTTCTTAAGTGTAGAAGACTACAGAGTAGACATTTTTCTAGCAGTTTTAATCTTTAAATTGATTTTTTTAAAACCAGTGAACCTACTGCACACATGATACTTCAAATGCTAACAACAGTATCCTTGATCTTCAGTAAATGAACTAGCTAAGAACATAACTTGACATCACATTATCATATAGCAATTATAACATCTTGAATCTATTGAATAAAGATTACATATTCTCAAGAAATTATAGTTCCAACCATCTGATAGAGTTTGCATTAAGGTGTACACTAAGGGTCGTTTGGTTGGGAATATGTTATCCAAGGATTAATTATACCGGAATAAGTTATCCTCTGATAGTTATTCCACCATATATGTGAGATAACTTATCACACATCACTGTGGTATAAATAGTGGGATAAATAACCAAAGGACTACCTAATACCTCCAGCCAAACACAGGATAAAATAATTCTATATTTCATCCCGAGATTATTATATCTTATACCTCACACAAAAAAACTCCTAAGCTTCTGCTAATGCTAAGGAAGCCAAAGGACAAACAGTCTAATTCTTATTTGGTTCCTTCAAACTTGAAGCAAATAATTTTCTCTATTGTCCATTTATGTTTAGCATGACCAATAAAATCAAATGTGATGATGGTAAATAATAAAAGCTTAAAGATCTGTCTGGTAAGCTCACATACATATCCAATCCAGGAGTAGTGTGGTAAATAAGTAGTAACAATGAAAATTATAGTCCACAGATCAAGCACTCATAGCATAAAATATGTTTTATTGTGGAACTAAGAAGACAATCAAAGTTCAACAGATACATTAAATTATTTATGAAAGGATCAATTTCTGAAAGCTATAAATATATCCTTATTAAGTAACCATAGGTGCTGATGATACACTTTCACAGTATCACTGTCCAACATCACTTCATAACAATAAATTATCCATAATTTCTAAAGTTGTTGACAATCTTATCGAACATGTTACGAGAGTTAAATGCATCTCCTATTTAATCCCAAAAAGCTGCACAAGGACTATTCTTTTACTTAGTTGTATGTTAACTTTTAATTCAACACTAACTTGGTGTTGTCAAGTAATTAAAATTATCTTATTTTCATGTCAAAAATATGTTTTTCCTTTATAAGATTAAATTAGTTGTTACAATCAGCATCCCTATCTTGGAGAGAGTGAAGAAACCACTGGAGAAATCTCTTGTTGAAGCTAGGCTTACTACTGAGAACATTCCTGCAGTTGAGGTTGTTGGGTCAAGCTCTCCAGTGCCTACAATTATGAGGATTTTGACAATGTTTTTCGGTAAGGAACAGAAGCGCACCATGAATGCAAGTGACTGTTTGGCCAAAGAATGTGCACTGCAATGCTCTATTCTCAGTCCTACCTTTAAAGTGCGGGAATTATAGGTCAATGAGAGCTTCCCTTTCTCAATTTCATTATCATGGAAGGGGCCTGCTCCAGGTGCACAAAATGGAGCTTTGAAGAATCATCAATTCACAATTGTTTTCTCCAAAGAAAATCCGATACCCAGTGTGAAAGCTCTAACATTCTACAGATCTGGAATATTTACAATACATGTACAATATGTTGATGTTAGTAAACTGCAGGCACCAACAAAGATCAATACTTACACGATTGGACCATTCCAATCTGCAAAGGGTCAAAGGGCTAAACTAAAAGTCAAAGTAACGCTTTTTGAAGAGGAAGATCTGGAAGTCCAAGTTGTGAAAGAGACAGCTAAGGAACCTGCCAAAATGGAAACAGATGAAGCTTCAGTTGATGCTGCTCCTTCAACTACATCGGAAACTGATGCAAAAGGAGCTGAATGGTGTTCTGGAGTCTGGAGACAAACATGTCCATATGGAGACAAATGTTAAGGTTGAAGCACCTAAGAAAAAGGTCATGAAGACATCTATACCAGTGACTGAGATTGTTTATGGTGCAATGGGAACTGCTGATGTTTAGAAGGCAAATGCGAAAGAATTTGAAATGGCTCTTCAAGACCATGTAATGGAAGATACAAAGGACAGGAAGAATGTTACTGAGTCCTATGTTTATGACATGAGGGATAAGCTTTCAGATTCAGAAAGAGAAAATTTTATTGCTAAACTTCAAGAAATGAAAGATTGGTTGTATGAAGATAGAGAGGATGAAACTAGGGGTGTTTACATTTCCAAGATTGAGGAGCTTAAAAAGCAAGGTGATCTGATATAACAACAATATAAGGAGTACACAGAGGGGTCCTGTGATTGACCAATTTATTTATTGCATAAATAGTTAGAGAATGTTTGATCACATTGATTTAGCAGAGAAGAAGAAGTTTGTGAACGAGTGTGTCGAAGCTTGAGGCTTGGTTTAGAGAGAAAAGCCAGCGTCAGGATGCTCTTCCAAAATATGACAACCCTGTTCATTTGTCAGCTGATGTTTGAAGGAAGGCAGAGGCATTTGATAGGGTCTGTAGGCCTATAATAACAAAGCCTAAGCCAGCAACTCCTGATACACCGTCATGTCAATCACCTCAACGAGGTGAAAAACAACCTCCGAGTGAAGAGACTCCTAATGCAGGAAATGCAAATGAAACTATTGGTACCAGTGCTAGCAGCGAAGTACCACATGCTGCCAAGCCAATTTAGATAGACAAATATGAGACTACGCCATGTTCTTCATGAGTTAAGTTGATTGTTTGATCTTCAAAGAGTTCATCAAGGTAAAGACTTGGTTCAATTTGTATTACTTTTTTCATTTTACTCGCAACTTTAAAAGGACCTATAGTAGCAATGAACATTTTGTTGTTTAATTGGTGCGATCAATATCGGCCAGCCATGGCCTGTCAAGTTATATTATTGATAATGACACTCTAAAATCAAAATTTTCAAATGGTTTTTTAAATGTGAAATTCAATTGTTGTTCTTAAAAAATAGTTGTTACCACTAACATCACTTGTGATCAAACGCATAATATATGGGAAGAAGTGTTATCGCAAGATATAAAATGACACTCAATAAGAAGATTTAGTGTTCATAAACAACTTAATATTTTAATAAGCTAGAGAGAAAGAACTATGATCAGTAAGCATGTCATTTCACAATTATCTATATATATGACATTTCAACAACGATATCTCAATGTTCTACCAGTGATTCTTACAATTCTTTCAATCAAGAATCAATCAGATACACTAAAATAGGTAACTCACATAATTTTCTCAAAATCTAATATCTGGAAGACAACTTGTACAATTGAAAAGAAAAAAAATTATATGCCAAACATATCCTTATTAAGCATGAATGCATCTGTTTTTATAGAAGATATTCAGCATACCAAATTCTACAATTTGCACAATATAACAATTACACAGAAGCCAAATTGACCTCAAATTCACATAATAAATCACATGAACAGCAGGACAACTGATAAATTATTTCATTTCACAACAAAAGACATCCAACTATTTTTTTAAAAAAATTACCCAAATATCATAAAACTACCTAAAGAGCCTAAAAATGTTCATAAAAAGACAAACTTTAACACAAAAACAGTAAATGAATCGCATATCCAAAAGAAAGTATAAACAGAGAATAGAAAAATGATGATAAACACTAGAAATAGAGAAGAGAAAAAAAAATGAGAGTCAGGTTATGCAAAGGGTCAAGTGTATTTATCTCATTCATAAAATTTAGCATTATACCTGAAAAATGAACGAAAATGGATAGATTTTGCTCCAAAATTGAAAATTTTCAAATTGAATGTCCTCAATTTGATTTTCAAAGAAAATTCTACAACGATAAAAGTTACAACTTCAAGAAGAAATGATCAAAAAGTTACCTTGACAAGAAGGATAACAAACCCTAAGCCAAGACAAATTCACCAGATGTGTAGAGTGGGTGTCCAAGTTCAAATCGCCCTCAGAGAAGGCAAGTCATTGCAATGAAGAATGGGAGTTCAAAGCTCCACCATAGAGGAAGGCATCGTGGTGTTTGAGGAAGAGGGTTTTTTGATAATTTTATTTGGTTGGGGTGGGAGTGGGGTTTTTCACGCTTTGGGAAGTGTAAGAGAAAAAGGTTAAAAAACTCTGGTTCTTTTTTATTTAGGTTAGTTTTGTAGTAACCACACAGTTATATTTTTAACGACGGGTTATTTGTCTTTTTTTTATTGTAGAATTGACATTACACTTATAAAGACTGGAAAATAATCGGGTCGCTAAAAATACAACAATAGCGACTGGATACATTACCCTTCGCTAAGAAATGGTCGTTAAAAGTCAAGTTTCTTGTAGCGAGGGTCCTTTCGACGATTGTGTGTTTGACCGATTTTGCTGATATGTGTTGTTGAAGCCAACCCTCTGCAATCACGGAGGGGTGACCATGTTCACGGGAGGTCCAAGCCTTGACCTCCGTGTTCACGGAGTGAGGGGCGTGTTAGCGGTCTCTTTAATGAGTTGTTCGTCCGCGTTCGTGGAGGACCCTTGTGTAGAATATCTTCCAAAAGTTGGGGTTTCAACCCTATTTCACCATTTTTGAGTTTTGAGAGCTTTGGAGTGGCGATTTGAATCAGGTTTTCGAGGAAAAATAGTTGGGTAAGACTCTTTACTCTAAATATATTATTACCCATTATTATTTATGAATTCAAGTGTTCAAATCAAGCTTTTGAAATGAGTAATTTTGGGTTATTTTCAAGAACCTAAGAACTTAGTAAAATGGTGATTTTGATATGATTTCAACTTCTTTTTCAAAGTGATTTGCAACAATGAGTTTCAAATGCCTTGGATAATGATTTCAAATAAAGAATTTTGAATTCAAACTTCATTTTTGAAATAGGGTTTCGAGTTGATTGATCCACTTTTCAAGTAATTGGTGTGGGTATTGTTGTTTCCGAATATTTATTGTGAATACTTGATTGATATAGATTGTGTTGCTTTGGACATCGGTCGAAATGGGAAGATTGAAGTCGTGAAGTGACTAGTTGGTTGAGTTAAGACAAGTGATCTCCTAAACCTTGTAATCTAGTAGAATTCATGTATTCCGTTTGTGTGTTGAGAGTAATGAGAATGAGGTGGAGGGTCCATTGTTCCACTTAATAAATCTTGATGAATAACAATGTGATTAAAGAAAAGGTCATGTGTTGATCATAATGCTTTGTGAATTACCTTGTTGTGACCCTGTTAAAGGATAACAAAAGTCCCACATTGATGGTTAATGATATGGGTGGACTCCTTATAAGGCTTGGACAATCCTCCTCCCTATGAGCTAGCTTTTGGGGTGTGAGTTAGGCCTAAGAACTAATTTCATATGGTATCAGAGCAGGAACCATCTCACCTAATGTTGGGGCTCCCCAAAATCAAAATTGCACACGCACCAGATGCTAAGAACTGGGCGTGAGGTGGGATGTTAAAGAATGACAAAAGTCCCACATTGGTGGTTAATGAGATGGGTGGACTTCTTATAAGGTTTGGACAGTCCTCCTCCCTTTAAACTAGCTTTTGGGGTGTGAGTTAGGCCTAATACCTAATTTACCAGACCTCTATTTGATTGATTGATGAAATGTTTGATAATATGAATGTGGACTTGAATTGCTTGAATTGTTGTCTCTTCCTTATGGTATGAACTTTCTTATGTGCATTGATTGTTGTACACCGTGATGAGACATATGAGGTAAAGCCAATAAAAAAAGTTCTAGCTAGTGATATAATGGTTTTGACTAGTGATATGATATAAAATCAATGAGAGATGGTTCCGGCTAGTGATATGATATGAAGCCGATGAGAAATGGTTCCGGCTAGTGGTATGTTATAAAACCGATGGGAAATGGTTCCAACTAGTGGTATGATATAAAACTGATGAGAAATGGTTCCGGATAGTGATATGATATAAAGCCGATTGGAAATGGTTCTAGCTACAGATTGATTATTATGATTTGATGCATTTTGATGCTTATGTTTGACTTACGTATTAATTGTGATTGATGCACATGTTACTTGTGATTGAGCTATTTTACATTGAGATTGACTTACTTGATTCGTGTTAATTGTCTGATTGTGACTATTGGACTGTGATTATTGAGCCTTGTGAGTTGTGTATTGTAGAGCTATTAGGTTGGGCTGACTTCTGTGCAGGTTGTAGTTTGAGGAGATTCGATTGGGATGAAAGGAGTATTTGATATCTAGCTAGTTAATTTGTTTATTAGTTTGCTTGCTGGGCACTGTGATGTTGGTACTCACTCCTTGCTTCTACACTTGTGTAGGTTCCGAGCCCATTGTCGTGTGATTGCTCTTTCTCTCTCATCTCTGAGGCTTGTCAGAGAACAATTGAGAGGTAGTTGTTTGTCATTCCGGCGGACCCTCTAGTTCTTCTTTTCATGCTTTGTTCTATTTGAGAAATAAAGACTTGATACTTGTACTTATTTCTTGATTCCGCACTTTATGTATTAGTGATTTGTACACGTGACAACAAGATTTTGGGGCGTTAATAGAATGAATAAGTTTTTTTCCTTTTTATCTTGTTCTTGCTTTATCTTTCCGCATTTCTTTCATTTTGTTGGGTTAAGGTTGACTTGTTTTGGTGGGATTAAAAAAGTGCCATCACGTTCATTTTTGGGCCATAACAAATATTGTTGGGACCACCTCTTTCGCTATGAAGGATGCGCTCTTGGGCATCGTGTTCGTGGTTGGGTCCGTTTGCAACAAAATTTAAAGTGAAAGAAAATAGATTGCAATTACAAAAAAAATATGAAAAAACAAGAATATTTTATTGATAAATCAATATGAGTATTATTTTGTTCCTCCCTTGATTCTTCTCTCTCTTACGATTTTTGTTCGTGACTTATTTCTCATATTAGGATAATTTGAATTTGATTTCTTTATAAATATTTCATGAATTTGTGGAATATTTAAGATGCCTTTTAAAGGGAATATAGTACACTTTATATCGGCGTGAACTAGGGTTTTGGGTTGAGTAGCCTCCAAGAATCTTAACTGGAATCAAGTACATCTTGTAGATTCCCAACTAGAATTGAACACGTCTTGAAGAGTCCCACAAATTTTTAATATCTACAAATGCCCTTTGCTTCAAGGCTTGTCAGAGTGTAGACTTGATGAAACTCAAAGATGAGACTTGAAGTATTGATCATTCTTCCACCTTTGCGATTTTGTGGCTACAGAGTTAAAGATGTGATTTGTACTGAGAGAAGAGATGAAGGGCAAATCTGGTCGATGTGACAATTTGTTTGCCACAAATTTAAAGTGAAAGAAAACAAATTGCAATCACAAAAAATATATATGAAGAAACACAAATATTTTATTGATAAATCAATATGGATACAATTATGTTCCTCTCTTGATCCTTCTCTCTTACAATTTATCCATGATTTGAGGGCCGTTAGTGACGTATTTCTCGAAATAGGATGAATTAAGTTTGATATCTTTATGAATATTCCATGAATTTGTGAAATATTCGAGATGCGTTTTCAAGGGAATATAGTACCCTTTATATAGGCATAAACTAGAGTTTTGGGTTGAGTCGCCTCCAAGAATCCTAACTGAAATCGAGTACATCTTATAGAGTCCCAAATAGAATCGAACACCTCTTGCAGAGTCCCACAAACTTTCAATGTCTAAATGGTCTCTTCATTTACGAAGAGGGATTGGGATAGGCAAGGTCCAGATGTACTTCACGTTCGCAGTTGAGCTCCGTTTTCATGGACGATAGCGAGACCTGGACAAATTTATAGTTTTCAATTCAAACTTAGACTACTTATTTCATTTTTGGGAGGTTTTGAAGTTTTTTTTAATGAACTTCGAGCTTACATCGCGGGGGTAAGAATCTACCCATAGTTTTAATATTTCCCCATTGTTCCATAATTTATTTCATTATTTAGTAGTGTTAAAAATTGAGTCTTTTGTACCTAAAATTGAGAAATCATTTTTTGATGCTATGAAGTTAGGTTCAAACTCAATTTTCATATTAGAGACCATTGTGTTATGGGTGAATTGATTTTATAATAAAATTATTGTTTTGATCTAGGAGCTCGAATTTGACCTTTTGCGCTCAGTAAGAAAATATGGCAATATGGATGCTAATAGACTCATTTACTTATGTAGAGAATGATTTTTATATATTGGGAGCATATCAAAACTTTTTGAAGGGGAAGACAATTTTGTGAGGACTCATAGCTTGTTGACTCACTTTCGAGGTAGGTTATGACTTACTCTCTTAGACTTTGCTTGGGCATGGTTTATTGTATCTAGTATTTCATGGGTTGGGTGTACTGACGGATTCGATGATTAGGAAGAATGACTTATCTTTGTGTGATCTAGGTTGAAACGTAGCTAACTAACGTAATATGACTTAAATTGATTATTCATTGTTGCTAAGGGAGTACATGACTGTGTTGGGTCAATTTTTTCAATTATCAAACCGAACCATTATTTTTAATTTTAAAATCTATGAACCAAATCAAACTAATATAACTTTGATTTTCAACCTTTTTCAGATTTTTCTGCTAAAGTATTCATACAAACATAGCAATTAATTTGTACTTTAAATATATCTTTATTCCTACCAAAATACAATCATCTAAGGAATTTTTTAATAAAATAACACAAACTATGAGATTATTGATGACACAAAAAAATTAACAAAAAAATAATAATGAAATCGCATAAAACAAATATTGCAAATTAATAGGTCATAAAAATAATCATAATTTAAAAGTACTAAATGAAGCAAAAATAAGTCTAATAAGTAGTTATTACATGACTAAACATTGAAAAAAAAACTAAAATTAGGTTATGTATTTCAATTATCTCAACCAATGTTAAAATTAAAGAACAAATATTCATTATTATTGTCATTCTTAGTATTAAATTGATTTTTTTTGTTAGCATTAATATTGATTTGAGCTTTATTAGAGTTATGTAACACCCTGTAATTTTTTCAGCTAAGACTTGAACCATTCTTCATGAGTGAATAAGATTTTATCGAGAAATTTTAAATTTTCTTAGGTGTTATCACTAGATGTAGTACCCTCAGTTCCAAAAAGAACTGAAGAGAAATTCATTCAAGTCAT